GTGGCGTTGTGGAGGCAGCGCGCGCCGCGGCGGCAGGAGCTGTGGGCCCGGGATCGCGCGGCGGGGAGCTGTCCGAGGTGCTGACCGTCCCACCCGCGGCCCGCGCGCACCCTGCGCGCCCACCTGCACGGGACCCCGCCAGGTCCTGGCCTTCCCCCCTCCGTCTGCCTGTCGTTCTCTTATTCTAGGGGCGTAGCGGCTGGAGGAAATCATGGTGTTCGCTCCAGGTACACCGCACCTTGCTTTTTCACCAGGTGTCCAGGAAGGGAGCGGGGTAGAACAGGGAGAGGATATAGGGAGAAAAGGCCTTTACCTTATGGGCCATCTGCGCGTTTCAGAGTTACTGTCTGTGTGCGAGCGACCGGCGGGTGCCTCCGCGCGTAGCTTTCGCCCCTCTCCCCAGTCCCACTCCATCTGTCCTTTTAAGAATCTCCAGCCCTTCCTAGCCATCACCCCGCCGCTCCCATTCTCATCTGGCTCCTCCACACCCCGTCCGAGCTCAGGCACCTTGCGAATTGGGACCTTCGCCAGCAGCATAGGCTCCTACACCGGCGGGAGGGTGGAGAGGTGGGGCAGCGGAGTGGGCTTCGGGGTACTTCGGTGGGACTCTCTTCGCTGCTACTTTCCGCAGAAGTGGCAAAGTGATTCTGTTCGTCCGGGTTTCTAGAGGAGAAGGAGGCGAAGTGGGCGAAGCCACGGGAGTGGGACGAAGGGCAGAGGAAAGCTAACCCTTAAGGAATTCGGTCTGAAACTCCGGCCGAGGCTGCAGCACTGAGGAAGCGACTGCGGCGCCGCTGGCCGTTGCAGTGTCTTTCACAGCGAGCGATTAAGGACCTTGGTCCCTTTGCTGCTACCGCTGGCTACAAGTTGGCGAAGAGTCAGATTTGTCTGTGGTTGACCGGCTTGCTGGCGTGTGCGTGCGTGTTTGTTTGAGTGCGCCCCACTGGAGCAAGGACCCGGGGGTGTGTATGGGTGAGGTCAGACTGAGTCAGGAAGCAGTGGGGAAAATGTGGTCATTGTTACGACGCTGTCTCTAGGCGTAAACAAAAACTTCTTTCCCTTACTCTGAAAATTTAGACTCTCTTTTCATTAAAGACTGCAGCGGGGGAACAGAGTGAGGAAGAGTAAAGGGGCCTAGAACTCTCTAGCTTTGCTCTGGGTGTTTAACTTTAGAGGCTGGTTGCATTTGCTGTGGGCATGGGCCTCAGAGAGCTGAGAAGGAAACATACATTGCACGCCATTTTTAAAAGAGAACTATCGAGACTAGGTTTCGAAAAATTCAATTAGCAAAACTTGAGAGGAGGGAATGCCCTGTCCCCTCCGGCCCCCTCCCCCTCGTCCCAGGATGTAGCTGGGACGGCAGGAATGGCTCTTTTGTGCATTATAGGTAGTGACTCAGAGGCAGGTCCAGGAACCCTTCTGCTCATTCCAAAAAGCTCAAAGGGAGAAACTGTTCTGTGTGGGGACGAACAGAAAATCAGCACAGACTCGGTGAAATGGGGAAACAGCTCTGTGTTGTTTTTATAAGCCACTTAACACTTTACACAACACTCTCCTGCTGTTACCTCATTTGGTCTTCCAATTGCCCTATGAGGTAGAGAACTTCATCCCTATTTTACCACCTGAGGGAGGCTGATTCTAGACAGTCTTGCCAGTCTTAGCTGGAGTTTTCTGAGCTTAGATTCTGTCTCTTTCTCAGATACTTCAGAGCAGCCTTGCTTCTTGGCAAAATGTCTCATCAACTTCAGGGGCAGTTGCTTTTTGATTCACGCTTAGATGTAGCCAAAGGCACAGCATATCTTTCTGTGGTGGTTGTGATTGGGTGGTGGGGTGATGTGGGGGTTGGCAGGTTGGTGGGGTGATGTGGGGGTGCAGGTTGGTGAGGTGGTGGTGTTGTCCAGAGCTAGAGGTGTTGAGGGATGTTAATGAGGCATTTCCTAAATGCTTCATTGTGGGTGGAGGACAGTGTAATGAACAGGGGGGAATTTCTGTAGTGGATTTACTTAGTTTAAGCAGGTCACAATTTGGATAGGCCTTAATTTCTATTTTACTTTAAAGTTTTATATTAATGTTTTTCACTGTGGGGAATGTTGACACTCTTCTAAACTGTCAGAGATGGCATAAACTGACCTGGGTAGGGTAGGTACAGAAATCTGTGGGAAAATATTTTTGGTATTTCTTTAGTTCTGAGGTTTTCTTTAAAAATCTGAAAGATTTTGGTACATTAAGAACTGGGTGCTAAAAATATTATGTCAATTTAACTTCTCATCTATAAATCATATGTTTTATAATTCATGGAGTGATATTATTTTTTTAAAAAAACCAGAACAGTGAGTTGTTTTGAATTTTGTCAGCTTTTCAGCATTAAAACCACATTTTTAACATATTGGTCTTCTAAATCTCCATAATCTGGGAATCCAGATGTTTTGTACTAGTTAAGGGAATTACTATCCTATCCTTTTCCTCTAGGGCAACTCACCATTCAAGAAAGGAAGAAACAGGAACAGGTGCTAAAAATCACTCCAAAGTTAATAAAAGGGTATTAGATAAGCCAAGGTAAATACAATAAATTAACAACAAGCTCTTCATAAAACTGGGTCAGTGGATGCTACACTATTCAAAACATATTGTAGTGTTTTGGATTTTAGCAAAAGAAAATAAGAGCTCTGAGGTATAGTTCTAAACTGGCTTCAGCAGACAAGTGTGCCATTGACTGGATCTACTGCCTCTTTGCTTGCCTTAAAGGCAAAGGTGGAAAGAGACAGATTCATAAAGCAAGTTTCAGTCTAGATATACAACAGAATAAAGAGACACTGGAACAGGAATAACTATAATTAGGATTGATTCTTATTGTATGGTATAAAATATCTTTCATTTTCTTCTTTCGATTAGGGTAGAAAGTTTAAAAATTGTGTCTAAATTGGGCAGGACCTTTGGGTGGTTTCTGAATTTGCATAGGACAGACAATTCAATTCAATATCTTTGCTCTTTCTTAGTTTTTTAATAGACTTTGTAATTTAGAAGGCATTGATTTTGTGCATACCAATTTTTAAACCTCTTAAAGGTAAGGTGACATGACTATGACTTTTTTTAATTTATGACAGAGCATGTGTGCACACAAAAGAGAAAGAGGGAGTGAGAGAAGCCCCCTCCACGGGGCTTGGTCCTGCAGTGATCCCTTTCCTCCAGCCCTCCCGCCTTCTAGGATCCTGGGAACATACCAGGTGTGTTTTCAAGCTTACTGAGCCAGGGACTCAACGTGAGGCCAACATGTGGCTTCCAGCTCCATAATTTGGTATGCTAGTGACTACACCATAGAGACTGAGCCCCCAGTGATCACTTTTTAAAATATTTAGTTAATAGAGGCCACTTATCATTCATTTCTTCTTCCCTTTATGGAAGTTACATAAAATTAACAGCTAAATGGAGAATAAAATATAAACATATTAATATCTCTGTAAGTACTATATATTCCTGAACAGTGATTAGTCTAAGCTGGGGCACATAGCTCAGGTTAAAGGTCAGAATGAGGTCCTTGGGGGAACCAGCAGTTAGCATAATGGCTATGTCGCTGGACTCCCACGTAGTCGACCGCCGTTTGTGTCCCGGACCTGGTGGTTTAAAACTCACGCCAGGCGCGTGTGCGTGCATGCCCAAGATCCCGAGCGGAGAATGGAGGAGAAGGGATTGTGGTGTGACCATCCCCCCTGGGGGGTGATTTCTTGCTTTCTGTCTCTATGTCTCTCTCTGTCTGTCTGGTGAGCGCACGCGCCCTATAGCACAAACCTTCCCCCCCCCCAAAAAAAGGAATGAGGTCCTTGGGGGAACCAGCAGTTAGCATAATGGCTATGTCGCTGGACTCCCACGTAGTCGACCGCCGTTTGTGTCCCGGACCTGGTGGTTTAAAACTCACGCCAGGCGCGTGTGCGTGCATGCCCAAGATCCCGAGCGGAGAATGGAGGAGAAGGGATTGTGGTGTGACCATCCCCCCTGGGGGGTGATTTCTTGCTTTCTGTCTCTATGTCTCTCTCTGTCTGTCTGGTGAGCGCACGCGCCCTATAGCAAAAACCTCCCCCCCCCCCCCAAAAAAAAGGAATGAGGTCCTTGGATTCTATTTCCTTAATCTTTTTCTTCCTACTCCTCCAATTCTCCAAAATTGAAGGTAAAATATTTCTAGAGCACCATAAGATTTAACACGAAAGAGTGACACCAATATGGAGAAATATTTTTGCTCCCATTCATTATTCTGTGTTGAGCTGTTTTTTTTCTGTAGCAAAAGCTTACCTTTAGGAGGAAAAAAGTTTTGGGAGGGGATATCTGGACTTCCATATGATGCTGTTGGTTTTGTTGAGAATTATCAAGGCACTCATACCAATATTTAAACAAAATCAAAGTACAAGATGGAAGTTAAGTCCACTGGCCATTAATATTGGAGGTGAAAAAGTATATAAGAGAGTATCAGGATATTTCTTGGCAT